AAAACTGACGAAGTGGCAACCATCTAAAGAAGGAGAAATCAGCTGACACGGAAAAATCTAAATTCCGCAGATTTCTGCGCTACGGGCTACAACTACAGAAAAATTCTGCGGTGTTGAGTTTTCATTTACATGGCGCTTTGGTAAGACAGATCGTGTCAGCTGACTCGGGTTTACGTACCGGTAGGTTTACGTTCTTGACTAATTTCAGCTTAAGTTATTTGCAAATAAAAAATTAACTCAGCGTTTCCCACTTGCAAATTGTTATTTGCAAATAAGGCGTGCGTATAATCGTAGTAATACACAAGTACTCATATGTATATACTATACGGCCCTTAATGCATGTAACGAAAATACTCCACTTTAGTTTGTATCCGTGGACTGCATTATCTACAGGTGTCACATACAAAACAACATTGGTGTGAAAGAGATAACCGTTGCAATCTTGACGGAATTTTGAGAATATTCGAATGAACGACTTGAGGAATTCTAGATGTAAATCCCGTTAGCTAATTTTTTAAATAAAATAATAATTATTACAAAAACAAGTTATTTTTTATTCCCATAATTATGCATTGTAAGAAATTTTGTTATATCCAAGTTTGAATAACGATGTAGAGAACATTCTTTAGTTTTATTATTTTTACATTAACTCTGGCAGCTCAAAGAGGAGAAGATTTATTTATCACCCTATACTTCCGGTAGTCCCTTCCAGTGACGTCCGGTAGTGCATTCCAGTGGAAGTTTTGTGATCTATCCCTGTTCTGACGTTCATTCTTCATTTCTTCATCTTTGCTTTGTGATTGTTTCCAGTGTCAATTGTCAATTTTCAATCGTCGCGACTCGCGAGGTGAGCAGCCGAATATTTAATTTTCAGTTTTTATAGTTGGAAATTTGCGAAAAGCAAGTAACTAAAAAAAATCAAAAATCAACTTCTTAACCTTGCAATATCTAATTTTTGTCAGTAATTATTTACATTGATATATTTGCTTTGGTTATTGTGTGTTGGGCGTTTCCATGGGCCAGAGAAATTGTTTGGCTTGGAAAAAAGTGGTTGTGCTGTGAAAGTGTTGAAATATGTAATTTAAAATTTATAGCTTGAACCTAAATAAGCTCCAGGAAGCTTAAGTTAACAAAGAAAGTGTTCAATGTATTTGTAAAGGTGCACTCCTTAACAACGTATTGTTCCGGTAATGAAAAATCGAAAAAAGACCAATTCTGCTGACGCGATTGTTACTCCGTTATGGGCACATCTGTCGTATGCAGTACCTACCGATCTCTTTCTTTGTTTCGTGCAAATCTTCGTTTTATAGTCGACTCTTTTGGCCAATTTCAGTAGTTGCCAAATTTTTCGTTGTAAAGTACATTGTAAAACCTCAAAACCATGTTTAGAAGCTTTCTGTATGTAGGATAAGTGAATAATCTGTACTGCTCTGCCTATGTAAACCTGTCCAATGTCAGATAGCTTGTCATACATGTCGTCAGCATGGCAATGCATCATCATTTAGAAACCGTCCAAGTCACACAAGCATACCACGCACAGCAGCGCTCATTCATTCCGACCAAGTCTGCGTGTACTTTTTTATACACCTAGTATTGCCATAAAAGTTAACAAGAAATTGCCATGGCTACAACTACGCCGATGGCAAAGGCAGAAAATGCATCGAAACACCCACAACAAGTACAACTAGCAGAGGCTGGTGAAGCTGAACATCAACAAACAAACTATAATGTTGTCAATATTGTGGCGGAAGAGGCATCGACAAAAAATGGGTGCGTCACACAGACAGATGTGCAGGAGGTAATTGACGAAGTGGAGCAACACACCCTAATGAAAACAAATAATATCGCACCCGGTTCGGATACGGGACCAGCGGAAGTAGAAGCAACGTCAGCTACACCTGCTGCCACCACTTTGTCAGTAATGGTCGTGAATGATGTACCAGAGACTCGTCTTTGTGGCAAAAAACTGTTGTTGTGTCGGCGCTTTAAGAACTGTGGCGAAATTTTGCGTAACTTCAATTCCCTGCCACTATTCGTTTACGCGACATCGCCGTCTACTCACGCCATTTCAGCCGATGGCGTGGGTGTGGCCAAAGAGGCTGTTGCAGTTGCAGCTGCAGGTGTATTGGGTCATAAGGTAAGAGAATATTAAACCAAATTGCAAATTTGTCTAACCTATATTTATGCAATAATAACACATATTGTAGCAAGGTAATTAAATTTTCGCAGACGATACTGTGTGCGTGTGCGAATGCGGCCATAAATACAAAAATGCAAAGCCACAAACGACAAAATCTGAGTAAAGGATTTAATTGATTAACTAATGTCCGGTTGCACCAATAAATTTAAAATTTATCAGCCCTTTTTTTTTTTGGAAATTTAAGTTACTTATAAACTTATACAAGGTCGGAGAATTATTTGGCTCAACTAACAAGTTATAAAGCCATAACAAAAATAGAACAAAAAAAAAAAAAATTTTCCGAACAAAATTGTACTAGTTTAAATTCTAATAGTCTGATAAATATTAAAATTGATTGTTAAAAATGGGGATAAGAAACATATAAATTTTTACGGAAAAATAATGCAAACTATGGGAGTTATAACCTGTCCAAGTGACATGTATTAGAAAATCGCTTTAATTTTTGGCAATTTTTTTAACACATTTGCTTCCATAAAAAGTATGTTTGACATTTTTTTTTGTATGGAAAGAAGTGCGTAATACATTCGGAATAGGTAAAGAAATAAATAAAATAATAGAAACGCGATTTTTTGGGAACTTCAAACTTGTTCCTTATTCTACTAAAACTAAATGGGCTATAAAACTGCATACTCAAAAAAAATTCTTTAAAACCTGATTAAAAGGTTGAAAATGGGGAAGCAATTTTGCAGAAGCATATAATTTTTGCAAAAAGTTTGAAATATAAATTTATATGGTTTTTTAGATAATAAAGTATACTTTTATAAATAAATATTAAATAAACAAAAGAAAAATGGGAAAAATTTGTTAAAATGTCTTGTTTATTTTTCCTTCACTGTATATAGAAAAAGAAAAATTGGCGGCATGGGTCTGCATTTGTAGAAGTTATTAAATTCTTACTATCTGCGGTAAAAATTACGCCTTTTATTAAATTTTTTTTTTATTATTATCGCTTTTTCTCGAACATTTGTTTATGTGGTGGGCGTGTCTGAAAACGGATCTGTACCAAATTATCATATTTTTACTGATTGAAATACCATAAAGCTACGTACCAAATTTCATTAAAATCGAAGCTCTTTTAAGTTCTCCGCTAACTAGGGTACTTGTATGTTCTTCGCCATATATCAGATTTCTTCTTACTGCCATAAATGAAGAGCCTGTAATGAATTATAACGAAATTGGAGCACATTAACTTTGGGATATGGGATGGCGACACTGCGACATGGAGTCTTTACAAAAACTTTTTTGGCCCTACAATTCCGGACAAATTTTTTTTTTGTTGCATTGGTATCAAATGAATCATGATAATTTCCCACCTGCTCTTCTATTTGAACTATTTTTTTTTTTTCAAAATTAGCTTCCGGTCTGATTGACAATAGTTTACGTATTTTGATTATAGTGATTTGTTAGTATCTTATTCGCCCCTGAGCCATTCCATCCTCATTAAGCAACGTTGTAAAGCTCTAAAAAGCGGTAATTTGTTGAAGTGCTTCGCTGCGCACCTGCTGCATCTAAAATTATTTTGCGTCCATATTTTTTACTTTACTGCAGTTTAATGTACATACATACATGTGCTTACATACACATGTACATACATACAAACAAACTTATTTAGTACATACATATGAATATATTTTAATTCACTTTTTGTGTGTGCTCTGCATCAAATACATATATACTTACTACATATGTAGTTTCGATACGTGAATGCATCTGTTATTTTCTACATTTAATTAAACTTTTTTAATGTTGGCACTAGAGCTGAAGTTCGTTGTTGTAGTGTTTTTCAAGTCGCTCTGGTTGCTGTTACCCGGTTTCTGTTGGAGTTCACGCATGGCTGATTGCCTCCGTCTGTTGTATAACAGGCCAGTGCGATCACCCGATGACAACGACAGCTATTGCTGCCAGTACCGCACCAATGCCAATACATAATAATAACAATAATATTACCACCCCTACCACCTGCAGCTAAGTGTATACCACAACAACGACCATGGTCGTTCATTTAATTTTTGCCATACTCTCGGCCCATAGTTAAAACTGTCCATATCAACATTATTTATGTAAATGAATGTGCCTATGCAAATACATATGTATGCACATGCATATATACTTACATATGCACTATATATATATATATACACTGTATACATATATCCATACATATGTATGTGCATTCGACATGCATACATACATACATATTTGTACATATTCATAAAGATACATATAACTTTTGTTGTGCTTATGAAATGGAACAAAACCTACAAATGAATATGTACGAGCACATACATAAATATGCGGAAGAGCGGGTGCAACACACCCGATTTTTCCAACAAAAGCGTAGTTGCTGTTGTCATCGCTTCGCCGCAGAGTGGAAAGCACTGGAAATTGCTCCCGAAAACATGTGTTGCTTTGGTAATTTGTAATGGTGCACTTGCTGAACCGCTGCTGGAAAATTTGTCTGAATTTATTTACGTTGGCACGTACTTTAACATACATAGGTATATGCGTTACAAATATGCGTGCAAGTGCATTGCGTGTCCGAAGCGAGCTAAGAAAACTGACATAGTCGTATTATATATGTACATTAGGGTGTTTTTTTTTCGACTTGATTTTTTCACTCCTACTTACCTCGAAATTTTGTGGAAAATACCTAAAAAGACTCCTTGAAAGTTTTAACCATTAATAATAACATTAAGTACTTGCCCTAGGCGTGCAAAGATTTCACATATAAAATACACGTAAACTTTGATTGTTTTTCTTCAAAACTCTATAGCTCAGAGGCATTTTATGGTATAATCATGGTCAGTAATGGGTTTTGTTCAGAATTGAACGTTCTACGAAAGTGTTCATTGTGGCGGAACTCAAACTCCCATCAGCGAGTTAGTACGGGTCACTAAACCCAATATTTTTATGAAATTCCGGTTTTTTTCCACTTTCTCGTAAATAGCGCGAGGTACAGAAAAATTACAAATTACAAACTTTGAGGTCATTCAATTTCCTACAAAAAACACCAAATCGCTAATATCGATATTTCTTGAGATATTGGGCTTGGAAATTGAGCTAGTGTGGAATTTTCATTGATTATTGAGTTAAATAGTGAAAATTGTTGATTAACTTCAAGGTCCAATATCTCAAGAAATATTATTATGGATATTAGTGATTTGGAGTTGTAGAACTTTTTTGTAGGAAATTGAATGTCCTACAAGTTTGCCATTTATATTTTTTCTGTAGCTCTTGTTATTTTCGAGATAGGGGCAAAAACACGAGAATTTCATGAAAAAATTGGATTAGGTACACCGCAATGGACACTTTTGTAGAACGTTCAATTCTGAAGAAAACCCATCATTGACCATTGATTATACTAGAAAATTCCTTTGAGATATAGAATTTTGAAGAAAAACAATCAAAGTTTACGTGGGCGAGTACTTAGGGCTGGTTTAGTTAAGCCAATTTTCTTGACTTAGTCAATAATAAGCTGTGTAAAACGTAGGCTAACTTTTGACTTAAGTCCAAAAATTGGCTAAACTAAGATAAGTTGAGTTAAAGAAACCAGCCTTTAATGTTAATAGGAGTAGGAGTGAAATAAACAAAAAGCACCCTAATGTACATACATATTTACTATATTAGACTGCATCACCAAAAAAGTTGCGGATTACAATATTTATTATATTTGAAGACTTCCACCAAAATATTTCGGTAAATATTAAGATTTAAGTGAGCTGCACCGATTTGAAAATACGTCCAAACTTGGAATTTTCAGGAATAAACATTGTTTCTTAAAGAACTTATTGAATAAAATCCCTCAGATGACAAAACAGTTTAAGATTAAAAAATCTGCATAAAAATATGAAAAATTTGCTTCTACGTAATCATAATAATGAGGTTTGGATGCTGTTTTTTAACCTTTGGATTGGTTTAAGCAAAACTTGAATAACCGGGCCAAAACTATTAATTTACCCTGTGTACTGCGGGCCAAAGCTCAGATAGGTGAACTATCGTTACGTTGAGTAACTTGTTTTTTTGTAAAGTGGAGAAAATTAAGCGTTTGTCTAACTAATTTTTGTTGATTTTTTCTCAATCATTTTTTGGTATTTCAATTTTACTTTAAGACAGCTGGAAAAAACGGATGGAAGTGCCTTAAAGGTACATACTTCCTTCACGAACTTGCAAATAGAAAGAACAACAAAACTAAGTAACTATTAGCTACTTGTTTTTCAGGGTGTCACAGGAGATATGTGTGTTTATTTACAAATTATCCAGTACCTTGCCAGCAACTCTCCAGTAACTTAATTTCTGAGAGTACGCTCTCATAGCAAAAAATATCCAAAAAAGTACGCGAACTCTAATCCAGTAATAATTTGCAAATTTCAGGTAAGTACAGCTGATAAATTGCTTGTTTATTCGCAGCAAATTTTTAATAGAACAATATTTTTATATTTAAATAGGTTTATTTTGCCAATTTTAACAATAAAAACCAATAAACAGTTTCCTTATTATTATTGCATCAAGCAACATGCGATCAACTGTTTTTCTTACTGGCAAATACTTTCAAGTAAAAATTTATCCAGTAAAAACTTGCAACTTCGGCTGCCATTTTTCGCTCTCTCAATTCCCCCTACTATGCAAGTTTTTGGAAAACGCCAAAACATGAACATTCGTAAAAACTTTTACTGGATTTTACTGGAAATGAGTAAACAAACACAACTGTAGAAACCTTTCCTTATGACTTCACAATATATGGTTTTACGTTACCACCACCATGCATCCCATTTAGGTGCTAGTACATATAAATTACCGATATCATTCGTACCGATTTAGACGGGACAGTGCCGATTTTCAGAAAATTGTCCCTCCGAATATTTTTTAAAAGTCGGGACCTATAAGTGTACAGATTTTTCATATTTGTGCCGATTGCATATTTGTCCAGATTTTTCATA